AATGAAACTGTCTTGTTCACAGATAGATGTAATAGCCTATTTGGTCAATCTGAAAGAATCAACAATCACAACAAAAAAACCCCTAAAAGTAATAAGCAACTATAATAATGTTGAAGAATACAGGGTTAATATACAAAAGTCAATTGCTTCCCAATATATCAGCAATGGACAATGAAATTTAACAATTAAAAACACAATACTATTTACATTAACAGCTCCCGAAATGAGGTACTTAGGTATAAATCTAACAAAATATGTACAAAATCAATATGAGGATAATTACAAAGCTGTAATAAAGTAAATTTTAAAAATCTAAGTAACAGAGAGCTATTCCCTGTTAATGGATAGGAAGAATCAATATTTTCAAGGTATTAGTGATTCCCTACATGATGTATAGACTCAATGCAATCATAATCCAAATCCCTAAAGGTTATTTTGTGGATATCAACAAACTGATTCTAGATTTATATTGAAAGGCAGACGACCTACAATTGCCAACACAACATCGATGGAGAAGAACGAAATTGGAGAACTGATACTATATGACTTAAAGAACACTATCTAGCTACAGTAATCAAGGCAGTGTGGTATTGGCAAAAGAATAAACAAGTAGATTAATGGAACAGAAAAAAAGAGCCCAGAAATAGAACCACATAAATATAGTCAACTTATCTATGGCAAGTGATCCAAAGTCAACAATGTAGAAAAGATGGTAATTTCCACAAATGATGCCGGAAATAAGTGGAAACACACAAGCAGAAAGATAAATCTGGATATAGACTTTACATCCTTCACAAACCCAAAATGGATCACAGACCGAAATCTAACATGCAAAACTGTAAACTTGTAGACGATAACAAAGGAGAACGTCTAGATGACCCTGGTTTTTTTTTTTTTAATGATTCTTAGATATAAAATAAAAGATGTGATCCATGAAAGAAATGATATGGCAGATTGGATTAAATTAAAAAATTTATCCTTTGTGATATATACTGCCAGGGGAGTGAGAAGATAAGCCACAGACTGTTAGAAAACATTTGCAAAGGAATGGTTGTCCAAACTATATAAAGAACTCCAGAAACTCAATGATTAGGAAACAACCTCACTAAAATGGACCAAAGACTTTAACAGGCACCTCACTAATATGTATTGATAGTGAATAAGCATATGGAAAGATGTTCCATGTCATATGCCATCAGGGGAATGCAAATTAAAACTAGGATATATTACTACAAATCTATAAGAATGGTCACAATCCAAAACAGTGACAATACCCAGTGATTGAGAACACAAACTCTCATTCATAGACGGTGGGAATGCAAAGTGGAACGGCTACTTTGTTAGACAGTTGTGCAGTTTCCTACAAAACTAAACATTATCTCACCATATGGGCCAGCAGTGTTGCTCCTTGGTACTTATCCAAAGGAACTGAAAACTTACATCCACACAAAAAACCTGGCTGTATTCATGATTGCCAAAACTTGGAAGTGATCAATATGTCCTTCTGTAGGTGAGTGGTTAAATAAACCATGGCATATCTAGACAATGGAATATTCTTCAGTGCTAAATAGCAATGTGCTATCATGCCATGAAAAAGTCATGGAGGAAACTTAAATACACGTTACTAAGTGAAAGAAGCCAATCTGAAAATGTTACATACTGTATGATTCCATCCGACATTGTGGAAGAGGTGAAACTGTAGGACAGTATAAAGTCCTAAAAAATAGATAACAAAAAATTGTAGATGCTTTGTTATGCAGGGATGAAGGCACGATAAAAGTGGATCTTTATCAAAATGCTCTATGATATTATACATTACAGCACAAATAAACTGGGAATGATCTAGAACTAACATGAGTGTGACAATGATAGGGGGATGGCTCAGGGTTTACCATGTGCATTCCATAAGCCAAGGACATAATCCTCGCAAGACTAAAGGTAGGCTTATAGGCAGCAGCAAAGGCCTGGAGGCCCTATTGAACAAATTTAATACCAGTTCTCCCAGGAGTAAGCTATGAAAATGTCCAAGATATTATTTGCTAATTCTCTAGATAAGCCGAGGCTTTTCCTTGCTGAAGAGCTGTAACCCCATGCTCTTATTTTCCACAAAGTTCAGAAAAAGTAAAGAGAACTAGAGGAGTCCTAAAACTAAAATTATCAAAGCTCTCAAAAAAGTGAATTTTCAGGCTGGTTAGGGTGGCTCATGTCTGTAATCCTAGCACTCTGGGAGGCAGGCAGATTGAGCTCAGGAGTTTGAGAACAGCCTGAGCAAGAGCAATACCCCTTCTCTACTAAAAAGTGTAGCAACATCCAGGTGTTGTGGTGGGCTCTCATAGTCCCAGCTACTCAGGAGGCTGAGGCAGGAGGATTTGAGCCCAAGAATTTGAGATTGATGTGAGATATTGAGCTTTGATGCCACAACATTCTACACAGACTGACAGAGACTGTCTGAAAAAAATAAAAACAAACAAAAACCACATGAACTTCCACAGCCTTTCATACTGCTGTTAGTCTTGATGTCAATACATCTACCCCTTTTGCTACCCATAGTTTCTCTCTTCGTGAATTAACTGCCTCTCCCCACCCATGTATTTGCTTCCAATCCTAGGTTCTATCCATTACAGACAGATATAAATACTTTATGAGACTTATTCACTGGTAGGTTCAAGTACATTTCCCAAATCCCTACCATAATTGATCTAAAACCCAGTGATTTGGCCGTCTGGAAAGGCACTAGACTAGAACTGCCCTTGAGCACTGACAGAAAGAACATTACCAGGTCCTATTAACAACTAAGGTAGTGACTAAGCTCCAAGGTAATGATCTTGGATCCAACATACTACTTTCTTCTGATTGCTAGACATGTATTCTATCAGGAGACCTCAAGTTAAGGATTGGTAGGAATTTTTCAGGAGTTGGTGACTAGAGAAGTGGATAGTTTTTGCCTGTGACAAAGAAACACAGCTATTTTTCTAATCTTTTAAACTATGTTCTAATTTTGGGGATCTAATACTATATTATCTTTTATTATACATGGGTTTAAGAATCATTGACTTCAAAAACAGAATTTATCTAAAAAGAAATTATTTGGTCATTATTTGAGAAGGAAATAAAACTAAGTATCATTTGAGGGGACTATAGTTGGCTACCCTCATATATCATGAAACCTGACTTCTTTGCACTCAATCACCCATTTATTACTTCAACATTTACTAGGAGCCTCCCTCTATCCGTTAACTCAGTATTTACCAGAAGCCTCTGTCAATTTATTAATGCCAGCCATTTAATAATATCACTAGGTCCCTAATTCCAAAATACTGTGTTAGAAAGTAGGATATGATGACATAGGTCTATAGTGCTTTGGTTTTTCAGGATGAGGCAGGTAAGTAAACTAATAAGGGAAATCAAGTAATATGGATCTGGGTGCTCTAATACTAAAATGACTAGAGGGTGTGTGTGGGGGGCATAGATAAGAGCAGTGAATCCTTTTTTTTTTTTTTTGAGACAAGAGTCTCACTATGTCACCCTGGATAGAGTGCCGAGGCGTCACAGCAACCTCAAAACTCTTGTGCTTAAGCGATTCTCTTGCCTCAGCCTTCCAAGTAGTTGGTACTATAGGCGCCCGCCACATGCCCGGCTATTTTTTGGTTGTAGCCATCATTGCTGTTTGGCAGGCCAGGGCCGGATTGGAACCCGCAAGCTCTGGTGTACGTGGCTGGCTCCCTAGCCACTGAGCTAAAGGTGCCCAGCCAGTTAATTCTTTCTAATGTGTGCTTGGGTGAGGTTCAGGAAAATTCCACATGGGTGAGAATATTTCACAAATTCAGTTGCAAAATCACTATAGATAGTATAGGAAATGAATGCCATAATTCTATAGTCATAGTCCTCTGTGCTGCACATAACAAAAATGATTTTCCAAGAACAGGTCAAAGAATTTGGTTTTATCAACAAGGGACTTGTTTTTTACCTTTTGACATAATTAAATGTATTTTAAAAATGGGACACATGGGATCATTTAGTTAATATTCACAGGTCATAAATATATTTCAGCATTTCCAGCACTGCAAGGGCACCAGGGAGCCTTCTCAGTACCACTAAAAAAGCCGGGTAATCATAAAGTGATCTAATGTGGGCAATCTGGGGTTTCTGTTAAGAGTAACTTTCCCATTTACATCCTTCAACAGATTCATTTGTACCTAGCCTTTGGGGATTGGCGGGGAGAAGAAACAGAGAAGGAAAAAAATCATGCAAGAAATACCGAGTTGACATATTAGAGGCTTTCACCTTACTTTGGTATTAACCCCATTTTCTCTATTAACCGATTGAAGCGTGAGAAGGTATGTAACTTGACCGAGGCCAAACAGCAAGTATGAAATAACAAACAGTGGTGCCCAGAATTGTTCTTCACCTGACTCGGTCTTCTCCACTTAAAACCAACAAAAAAGGAAAGCTGGGTCTTCACGTGAAAAACAAACAAAACCCCCAATCCAGCCCCACCCCTACCCCTTTCCAAACAGCTTATCCGGATCACAAAAACCTAGAGGCCTTTGGCTAGCCCTGGGTCGGAGCTAGAAGGGAAGATAACCCCAGTGCTCCTAAAATTCTTGGCTAAACTCCACTCTGGCCTAACAAAGATACCAAAACCTTTGGCCGCACACAAGGTAGGTAGGTAGTTATACGCTCAGCGCGCGCTTCCAGTGTGAAAGCACGGAACCCGCCGTGCAGGTGCGCGCGCACCTGTCGTCCCGGGTGCGTGCCGTGCGGGAGAGGGTACGTGCTCTGCGCGCGCGCCCGGCAATGTTCTCCGTACGTGCGCCGTACGTGGGTGAGGTGTTCTTGCGTTCCGCGTTTCGCGAAGGCAGTGGGCTGAGTGCCGATTTAGAGTCTGGGAGGGGCATTTTTCCAGGCGGTCTCGGCTCCCCCTGGCGGCAGCCGCGCTCCGCGGGAGGAGCGCAGTCAGGCGTTCTCCGCGGGCAGCCGGCGGCGGGGCCTTGCCTGATAGCGCGGGGTCCTCGGCGGCCTGGGTGGCTACTGCTCCTGCTGCTGTCGTATTTGAGGACGGGTGTTACTGCTGCTGCTGTTGGTTCGCGGCGGAGGCGAAGGAGGAGGAGGAAGAGGGCGAGGCGACGGGGTAGAAGGAGGCAGGCGTAGCGTCGGCGGAGGGGCCCGGGACCGGCGGCGGCAAGGGGGGGGGGAAGATGGCGGACGTGCTCAGCGTCCTGCGACAGTACAACATCCAGAAGAAGGAGATTGTGGTGAAGGGAGATGAAGTGATCTTCGGGGAGTTCTCCTGGCCCAAGAATGTGAAGACCAACTATGTAGTTTGGGGGTAAGTCCGGCATAAGTGTGGTCCGGGGATGGCAGCGCAGTGTTGAGCGCCCCCAGGCGACCTCTTTTTTAACCCCTCCCCCCCGTTTCTCTTGGTGCTGGGATAAAACGGGTGCTCTGGGAAAAAGTTTCTCTTGAGCAGTAGTTGCACATTTGGGGGCGGAGGGAGGTTCCCTCTGGAGCGGTCCATCCTTTATATCTTTAGGAAGTCAAATGTGCACCATGCGAGTTTCTGAGTAATCCAGTTCATTTTTAGCAATGATGCACTAAGTGCCAGCAATGCGCAGAGCTGGTGCACGAACACACCTGAACACAGGTGCACAAAGGAGCACTCCTTCTGTTGCCGGAGATGTCTCTTTTTATTTTTCCTCTCGTCAAGGCTGCCATATGTTGCGTCTGTCTCCGCTGATCCTTGCAGCTTCTGGTCAATTTTTTTTCTCCATTCGTTAGTGGGGAGGGGGTTGTCTTTCTAGAAAAGAAGAGAATGAACTGTGTGAAGTTAAGACGGGTGGAAATTGGTGAATTTGGAAGAGTCATCAACATGTGTGTTAGAGGTGAAGTTTCTCTGGAGAAAGTGGTGAAATGAAATGAGCTTTGCAAATGTAATAAATCGATAATGTGTGTGATTTGGAAGTTATTTTTATTTGCTTTTGCGGCGAGAAGTGTTTAAAGGGAAATGTTTTGGAATGTTAGACCACGTGGGATTTTATGAATTTAAGTCATTCAGAAGAAAAAATCTACGTACTTGTCATTGGTTTTTCATTAAGATAATTCATATCTCGAACCACTAACTTTTTTTTTTTAATCGAATGGAGTGGGCTTTTGAATGAAGCTTTATGAAGAGTTGATGAGAAAGTAGAGGAAATTTTTGTGTTGATTAGTTTGGGATTTTTTTTTTTTTTTGTCTTACAATTAGTTCGATGAAATGTTGATTAACTGATTTTTTTTTGGTAAATTTCCTGTGTTCTACACTTTGAAAGAATTTACACGTATAGAATTAAATTTGATTGGATTTTTAATGGATGTTTTTCTTTAAAAAAGCAGTTAAGGAGTATCTAGTGGAGAGTTCATTCTGAGAAATAAAAAAAAATTATGAGACCTGGGTTCCTGCCACAAAAATAGGAACTTAGTCTGAGTAGAAGTGTTTAAACTCATTATGTGATGTGAAACGCTTTCTAGCTTGTAAGAAGAGAGCAGTCAATGTAATTGGGATGTTAGGGATGGTTCCATAGAAGTGTGTTTGACGTGCTTGCATCCAGCAAAGTTTTCTTGAATGAACGAATGAGGAAATGAATAAGCTTTAAGAAATAGATAGAAATTATCTGGGTGAAATAGTGGATTAAGTTTTCCAGGATGAGTGAACTGTATGTTTAAAGGAATAAGAACTGGAAAGTGAATGTGTTGACAGAAATTCAGTGAACCCAATGAAAAAGGAATACTTAGAATAGTAGAGTTCAAGCTTTTCAACAGTGATTTACACCAAGAAATTATTTTTATTTTCTGTGTATGTGTGCAGATGTAAGTATGTATATTTAAGAAACACTAATTAAGACTAATTTATGCATACAGTGCTTTCTCCAGGATATGGTTGTTACTGATGTATTAGATTTCGTAGTACTATAATTGATAGTGGTGTGTGGTTTGAAATCCACAGGTTCAGAGGAAAAATGGGAATAGAGGCTAGAGAAGTAGGTTTAGGGCTGATTGTAGTGGGCCTGTATTCACATCAATTCAAATACAGAGCTCACATCTCTAGAATACTTGTTTTTATTGCAGGTAGAATTACATTTTGATTTTGTATCATTGTTCTAATTGGAGGGATGTCTAAATAATCACACCTCTAAAATTCAGTGTTGTATTTAGTATAAGTTAAGGATTTTGTTCAGCAGGATCTTATTTTGAGAGAGCTGTAAGGTAAATTTCTTGTAAGTATGGTACCAGTGATAGTTGTGCATCTCCTAGTTTTTCTCTTATAGATCCTCTTCAATCTGTGACTACTTAGATTTGTCTCTTTCTGGACAAAGCCTAGAGTACTTAGTACCTTAGAGCATGAATTTTGTGTTGCTTCTTTTTTTGCTTTTGTCATGGCCTTCCTTTGTGTTCCTTTTGCCCTCATGACATTCTACATACTAGATTTTGTACTTTATATGTATATAGCCATTGTTGAATAGCCAAGTTGTATAGATTAATGAATACATGTAATTAAGCCCAAAGAGTTGAATTAGAATTGTGAGTAAAAAATATTGCTTTAATTATTTCAGGACTGGAAAAGAAGGCCAACCCAGAGAGTACTACACGTTGGATTCCATCTTATTTCTACTTAATAATGTACACCTTTCTCATCCTGTTTATGTCCGACGTGCAGCTGTAAGTGGAATTCATTTTGTTTTGTTTTTTACTTCATAACAGTAGGTATCATTTAGTGTATACAACGGCCCTTGTTTTCAAATCAAAAGAATGAAAGTTTTTGTTTTTGTTTTTGTTTTGAGACACAGTCTCACTATGTCGCCCTCAGTAGAATGCTGTGGTGTCACAGCTCACAGCAATCTCAAACTCTTGGGCTTAAGCAATTCTCTTGCCTCAGCCTCCCAAGTAGCTGGGACTACAGGCTTCCACCATAATGCCCGGCTATTTTTTGTTGCAGTTGTTATTGTTGTATAGCTGGCCCGGTTGGTTTCAAACCTGTCAGCCTTGGTCTGTGTGGCTGGCGCCATAATCACTGTGCTACATGCGCTGAGCAAAAGGTTTGTATGATTCTCTTGGGTCAAAATTAATTTATCTTGTGATTTATGCAGATTTTAAAATTTATGATATTTGGGGGCAACGAGCCAAATCTATGATCTTTTTTTTTTTTTTTTTTTTGAGACAGAGCCTCAAGCTGTCATCTTGGGTAGAG